TAGGAGCTCTACCAAGAGCTTTTATGTGCAGTAGCTTGGCCAGCCTTCCCAGTATCCCTGAGAAGAGGATCATCATCATCCCATACAGAGGAAGACACTGAGGCTCAGAGAGGTTAGGTAACTTGTCCAGTGTCACACAGTTGGTAAGTGGTGGAGCCAAGATTCAAACCCAGGCAACCTGCCCCAGTCTCATTCTTCTTTTTTTTTTTTTTAAATTTAATTTATTTTTTGGCTGCGTTGGGTCTTCGTTGCTATGCGCCGGCTTACTCTAGCTGCGGTGAGTGGGGGCTACTCTTTGTTGCGGTGTGCAGGCTTCTCATTGCGGTGGCTTCTCTTGTTGCGGAGCACGGGCTCTAGGTGCATGGGCTTCAGTAGTTGTGGCGCACGGGCTTAGTTGCTTCTCAACGTGTGGGATCTTCCAGAACCAGTGCTCGAACTCGTGTCCTCTGCGTTGGCAGGCGGATTCTCAACCACTGCGCCACCAGGGAAGTCCCCACAGTCACATTCTTTTTTTTTTTTTTAAATAAACCATCGTAGTTTATTTATTTATTTATTTACTTTTGGCTGTGTTGGGTCTTCGTTTCTGTGCGAGGGCTTTCTCTAGCTGCGGCGAGCGGGGGCCACTCTTCATCGCGGTGCGCGGGCCTCTGACTATCGCGGCCTCTCTTGTTGCAGAGCACAGGCTCCAGACGCGCAGGCTCAGTAGTTGTGGCTCACGGGCCCAGTTGCTCCGCGGCATGTGGGATCTTCCCAGACCAGGGCTCGAACCCACGTCCCCCACACCGGCAGGCAGATTCTCAAGCACTGTGCCACCAGGGAATCCCCCCACAGTCACATTCTTACTGAGGCCACACATCAGCCTCTCACCTGCTGCTTGCCACTTCCTGTCCTTGGCTGTTCCTTTCTGAGACTCTCAGTCCTCTTTCTCAGAGGGATACAATGTGGGCACCTGATGGCCACTGAGAAGGGATGCTGTGGTGGCAGTAATGGGACCTTTCTGGAGTATTCCGAGGAAGCGCACCTACGTATTCTTTCTTTTGCCGTATCACTCCCCTGGGCCTCAGGGCTCATAGCTCAGTCTATGGGTTATGAGAATTGTCTTCCAGAATCCTACCTGAAGTGGTAGGGATGTGGTGGCGGGGTCATGGGGGGTTGGGGAGGCCATTCTGGAAGCACCTGTGATGGACCTGGGAGAACTTTAGGGAGCCCACAGCCTTCCAGGCTGAAAGGATGGACTGAAACAGGGCGTGTGGAAGTTGTTCACACATGGATCCTTCAGAAACTTCCAGACCCATCCTCTGGGGGTGGGGTACCTGGATGGCTAGACCTACCTGCTTCTAGACATCCCACAGATAGGTGACTTTCTCCCTGCTATTAGGAACCAGGCGAGTCAGGGAAGGCTTCCCAGCAGCAGTGACTTTTATCTGGGTTTTGAAGAGTAAGTAGGAGTTTTTCAGGCAGAGAAGGAAGAGTTCTCTATACCAAGGGAACAACATGTGCAAAGGGACAAAATATGACCCAGTACAGCAATGGGAGGGACTGGGGAAGTTAGTGTGGGTGATGTGGGGGGAGATGAGCTGAGTGGGAGGCTGGGTTGATTAAGAGGGTCTCATATACTCATCTAAGGTGTTTAGAATGTAATCAGTGGGTGAATAAAAGTTTTAAAGCAAGGACACGGTCAGGAAAGGTGACCCTAGCAGCTCTGCTAGAGGTTGGACACAGATGTCACACGGCGCACAGAGCATCCCCTGGGTGGCCCACAAGGGAGAAAACACTGTCCTCTGAGACCCCCTCTTTTCTTTTGGAATGCTCTGGAAAAAGCTCTGCGTTGCTTCACGTGTGCTCTTGTTCTGTGGAGGATCTGATTTTCCCCAGAGGTGCGTGCCTTGATTCTATTATGGAAATCAGAGGGAAAACACTATGTGTTTAAAAATTGTGTGAGGGGGTCTTCCCTGGTGGCGCAGCGGTTAAGAATCCGCCTGCCAATGCAGGGTACGCGGGTTTGAGCCCTGGTCCAGGAAGATCCCACATGCCGCGGAGCGACTAAGCCCGTGAACCACAACTACTGAAGCCCGCGCGCCTAGAGCCCGTGCTATGCAACAAGAGAAGCCACCGCAGTGAGAAGCCCGCGCACCACGATGAAGAGTAGCCTCCACTCGCCGTAACTAGAGAAAGCCCACGCAGCAACGAAGACCCAACACAGCCATAAATAAATTAATTAATTAAAAAAAAATTATGTGAGAGCCAGCCTTGCGGAAACATCTAGTCCACGAGGGGACTGTCTGTCTTCATGCCTTTTCTCCCCAGATGAGAAATAATTGAATAAAAAATTTAAAACATACAGCAGGGTCAACTGAGTTTTTGCCCCCTTGGCTCTCAAAAAGAAAAACAATTAGGAAATAAAACCTAGAGGACTAGGAATTCCTTAGGCGATTCTTTAAAAGCCACAGCATCAGTGAGGCAGTTTGGCAGAGTGGTTAAGGGCATACGCTTGGCCTGAGACAGAGAGCGTTCCGACCCAGCTCTGCTCCCAGCCGTGGGACATCCACACGGTGCTTAACCTCTGCACCTCTGTTTCCTCACCTGCAAAACCGGAGGCCTCCTTTTGCCTACATCACAGAGCTGTGCAAGTCAGTGACGTGCCTGCACACAGGGACCCTCGATGGAGGGAAGTGGGTGGTTTGTACACAAATCCGTGACCAGCTCCGGACAGGAATGAGGGCACAGGCTCGCTGTGCTGTGACATCTCTGCCCAGCTACCCTCTTCTCTTTCACAGATACCACCAGGCCCAGGAAGAGCCATGAGGAGGATGGGGTGGAATATCACTTCGTCTCTAAGCAAGCGTTTGAGGCCGACTTGCATCACAAAAAGTACGTTTCCTTGATGGACCAGTGGGGCCTCCGTGCAGCTGTGTGTCTTTGCATCTGTCCAGTCTTCCACTTGACCTCCTGGGAGGGCTTCTGGAAAAGTCAGGGGAAGCAGAGGATGGGAGGAGGAGTGGGGAGTCATGGTGGGCCATTCACCTTCTGTGTTAATTCAGGCAAACTCAGCAGCTGAAGGCCTTTTCCCCTGTGGTGCTGTTCTAGGTTCCTGGAGCATGGTGAATATAAGGAAAACCTCTATGGAACCAGCCTGGAAGCCATTCAGGTTGTGATGGCCAAAAACAAAGTGTGTTTGGTGGACGTGGAGCCAGATGTGAGTTCCTGGGCCAGTTTGGCATTTCCTGTTAATGGAATTTTTATAAACTAGGGGGTTGTACATTTCACAGAACATTTGACCTTAGTCCAGGGACTTTTTATTCCAGAGCACTAGAGGTTAATATTTCCTTGGATCTCCCTTTGAGAATCTAATGAAAGCTTTTGTATCCCAAAATGTGCACCTCTATACACAAAAATGACATGAATTGGAGGGACCCTCTTGGTGGCCCACAGGCCCAAGATAGTAACCTCTGCATGGAGTAAATCATGCAGGAGATGGTGGCACCGACTGGTCCACTATGACCTGACAGTCAGGGACTTAGATGTAAATGCACCAGTGGAAGCTGGGCCACCCCTTCCCCGACGAGGACAAGTGAAATCAGAGAACCACTTAGAGAACCACTGAGGGAGGTGGTCAGGAGAGCAGTTTGAAAGGGAAAAAGGGCAGACTTGACCCTGTGTAGTGCTTCAGAGACATTTCCAGTCCTGCACACCCCACAGGGGCTTAATCGTCTTTTTAACCTTGTCTTTGAGAAAAATTTGTAAGCCTTGAACTCAATAGGGGCTGAGCTCTGATTTTATGACATACACTGTAGGCTTTATTTTACGGAAGTTGGCTTGAAACGGATTCCAAAAAGCACCTTATGTCCAGAAAGGAAAACCCTCACTAATTTGGACTTACTGGGAGTTGGTAGTGGAAATTAAAAGTCTGAATTTCAAAAATTTTTTTGAAAAGTGATTTTATTGGTTTAGAGGGGATGCAAGCTGTACGTATAGCAGTTTAATACCAGTGTTTCCAAATACAGGCCCTTACATCATAAATAAAATGCACTAATTAACAGGACGATTTGCATATTGAAAACCTTCTAAAGTCTTTACAATTTGCTTCAAGGAATCTCTTAGTCTCTTCATTTGCTTGGCAAACCTTTTCTTCTTTGAATATCATGAGGAGGCCTGTGTGATAGCACAAATTTTGCATTAGTCCAAACTGATGACGTTTGACTAAACAGGTACACACATTAAATCCTGCTGGTTCTTCCATCAGGACTAGGCAGGCAGAGAAGGGTGTACGAAGGCTAATTAGAGCTTGGCGGAGGGTAGTCAGAGCTGAGAAAGATGGCAACTCTCGGAGCTGAGGCTTTGGAACCTCCGTTCTCGGCAAATGAGCCTTCAGGGTCCAGCTGAGGCCAGCGGGAAAATGAGCAGGTGGTCTGCACGGATGAAGGCCATTGTCATATGACCATATAATCAGGACCTTTGCCATTGGGGTTATGTGATGAAGCACACCATTACTGAGTATTCAAGAAGTGCGTTTCACAATAAAATATTTTCCAAGTATATAATATTCCTGAACTTTCTTTCTCAGGCACTGCAACAACTGAGGACCTCAGAGTTTAAACCCTACGTTATATTTGTAAAGCCTGCAATTCAGGAAAAGAGGAAGACGCCACCCATGTCCCCAGCTTGTGAGGATGCAGCAGCCCCACTTGTAAGTTTAAAGTTGATCATTTCTCTTCCGAAGGCCTAAAAGGGCCGTTAGCTGCATGTGGGTGCCCATACCTTCTACACAAGACCATCTTTCCATTTTGCCTGTTGGCCAGACTCAGATGGTCATGTAATCTGAAGACTCAGGGTGGGGCAGCCAGAAGTGCCCCCCAATTCACACAGGAGTGGCTTTGCCTGGGTTCCCCACCGTCCACTCCCTCACATAAGCACCCCGTTGGAAAGTTAAGGGACTGACATCTATCAGGCACCTGATCTGAGTGTGACATACCACAAAAATTTGTTGAACTCCTAAGCCGAACCCAAATAATTTTTAACTGAAACACCAACTTCAGATCCAGCAAGCTAATCCAAGATGGAGGCAAGGGGCATCATGGGGGAATCTTTCCTATGTGCAGCTCAGGACTGTGACTCTCTTGCTGAAGCTGCAGGTGGTTGAGTTCCACTTTTACAGGGCAGGGAAAGGGTTCAGGGGACTGACAGCTTCAAAACAAATGTCACACATTTTACTCCATTAGAGATTACTTGAGTTCTTTCAAGAGGCAGGTATTTATTAGGAAGATTGAGTGATTTAGGGGCAAAAGAATGTTCCTTCTATAATTTCTTAAATAGATAAATGCTTCCAGGATGAACAATGAAGGTACCTGGAGGAGGGGAAACTCTAGTAGCGGCAGACAGTCTATAGGATATATGTGTGTAAGGGGGTGGGGGAAGTGGGATGAAAGATCCAGGGGCAGCAGTGGGACACTGCAGGGTGGTTTTGAGTAGGAGAGGAGCCCTGCAAGATGCCATATAGAATTGGGAAGCTCTGCCCAATTTAATCTAGGTTTTTCCCTCCTGGGGGAAAGAAGTAAGTTATCTAAGCCTTCCCGTAGGTCTCTTCTGTCCTTGCGGTAGCATGCATAAACTGTTTCCTAGACCTTCAGAACATACTTTCTGAAAGTATGGATGCTCTCACTAAAGTAGGAGTCTGGTTTTGATTGGTGACAGAGAGGGGGAGGGAAAATTTTGGAATATGGGTCATTTTAGGGGAAGACAGCTCACCCCCTCCATGGCAGCATAAAAACAAGAGCCCCTAGAAGCAGAGGCGAGAAAGCAGCAGAGGACTGGAAGGAGATAGAAGGGGAGGTGGGTGAATGCCAGCCACAAATTTCACTTTGCAGTTTTACTCAGTGTGGATCCTGCCCCTTTCCTTTCTTCCAAAACCCAAGCTAATAGTCAGTGAACTACCTGCTTGAAATTCTACTTACTAGAGGTATATTTGAATGAAGAAGCAAACAAAACACTGGGTAGGTTGGGTAAAGGAGGGATCATTGGCTGTCTAGACCTTAGGGTTAGATGTCAGGAAAGCAATCTGATTAGAGAAGCCAGGTATCCTAAGGAAATGAGGGATTGGGTCAGGGTTGTCCCAGCACTTTCTTAAATATCTCTGCTTTGTCAGCTGTGCTAACGCTGGGCTCTGGTTTGAGGAAACGGAAAGAAGAACTGAGTTCTACATGACGAATTTAGGAGTCTTCAGAAGGCATTTGAGTTACTTATTCTCCTTCTTTTTCCCCTAGTTGATTCCAGAAATGCTTGCTTTGCTTTTATATAGTGACTACTATTTTTAGTTCTTTCCTGTAATTATTTAACCAAATTGCCATGCAACACAATAGTACTGCTAGTTTGGACGTACCTTCGGACAGGAAGTGTGGTATTGACATATACAGACACACAGATATAGAATCGGCATCTGCCCGAAGCGGCTCGCAGTTAACAGGTCCTCAGCAGATGTCTTGTGAATGACTGAACAATGCTTATGGCTGCCGCCCATGAACTTACTTGGAAGTTTGATAGGCTAGCATCACTATGCTCTGTTCTTGTGTACCCAGTTGGTTATTCAAGGGCCATAGTCATCCACTCATCACCTAAAAATGAGAGGTTGGACACTGCCCAAGACAAAGGCTGTAGGTTTCTTTTTTTTTTTTTTTTTTTTGCGGTACGCGGGCCTCTCACTGTTGTGGCCTCTCCCGTCGCGGAGCACAGGCTCCGGACGCGCAGGCTCAGCGGCCATGGCTCACAGGCCCAGCCGCTGCGCGGCATGTGGGGTCCTCCCGGACCAGGGCGTGAACCCGTGTCCCCCGCATCGGCGGGCGGACTCTCAACCACTGTGCCACCAGGGAAGCCCAAGGCTGTAGGTTTCTTATCTGGGGGGAGAACAACCCAGTTGTTCCCTAACTGCCCCTTTTCCTTGCAGGATGAGGAGCAGCGAGAGATGGCCGCCTCTGCTGCCTTCATAGACCAGCATTACGGGCACCTGGTAGATGCTGTGCTGGTGAAGGAGGACCTCCAGAGTGCGTACAGCCAGCTCAGAGTACTCTTAGAGAGGCTGAGCAAGGAAACTCACTGGGTACCTATTAGTTGGGTCAGGTAACTGTATCCTAGAACATCCAGGTTGGAAGGGACCCGGAAGACCACCTGGTCCAGGCTCCCCCATGTTACCATCAAGGAATCTTGAGCAAGAAGGGCAGAATTTTCCATAAACTCCATTATCAAGAAGAGTCTATGTGGGGAGTCTTGTTTTTTGCCAGTTTTTGTCTGCGGCTTTTCACTGCACCCCTTTGGAGCCGAACATACAAGTCGAAAGGGAGCATATCACAAAATAACACATGTCATTCATTAAAGTATCACAGGCAAGTTGACCCTGATTCTCCGTACCAAAGTTGAGTAGCCACTGTCTTTTGGGGGGTGGTGGTGGTGAATGTATACAGTACCAATTTGCAGAGGTGTTTAAGCTTTATAAACAGAGTGACACTTCATTTATCCGGCTTCGTTGGAAGTTGAGTTGTTTTACCCAAGAGGATTTTTCATGCAATTGACGTTCCCCTGTCTTCAGGCACTAAAATGTTGATTTTAACCTTTTCGGTAGTGTGCGTTTCCCTGGTAATGGAAAATGTGGTTCTCTGCCTTCCTAAATAGTGAGCATTCATCAACTTTTTTGGCAGACTAAGGCACCCTCCCCTGTCACCGTGATTTACTGTCCTCTTCCATGATACAGTGGTGTTTTCAGGGACTCTTGCGGAATGTCAGGCTGCTTGTGCCTTTTCTAAATATTCTCAGACTCTGAAACTTGATGCTTGCTTGCTTTGATTTATTTTATTCCATCACTTGTCTTTCTTGTTACTGACAGCTCTCTTGGTTCTCACCTGTCCCTACCTTCAGATTATAGGGGCTCCTATCCTGCTACATCATGGGAAACCAGATGATTCCCCCCTGTCATAACTATGCCTAATTCGCAATAAATCAGTCCTGACCATCAAAATCAAAGTACATAGACTCTGAGTGTGGGCCTGATGGGTTGTCTCTGAGCAAAAGTACTTAATGTCACACAGGATTTGTGATATATCTTAGCTTCAGAGAATTCTATTTCTTATTAATAGCCAATGTATATAAAGCTTTATTCTGTGCCAGGAGCTATGCTAAGGCCTTTATGTACATGATTTTGACAGATGCACCAAGCCTATGATGTAGGATTCTTTTTTTTTTTTTTTTTTGGCCACACCACATGGCTTGTGAGATCTTAGTTTCCTCACCAGGATTGAACCCTCGCCACCGCAGTGAAAGCGCCGAGTCCTAACCGCTGGACCACCAGGGAATTCCCTGATGTAGGATTCTTATCATCCCTATTATACAAACGAGAAGAACAAGGCTAAAAAGTTTAAATAATGTGTTCAAGCTCACACAGCTTTAAAAAAATGGCAGAGCCATTGTATTTGAGCCCAGGTCTTCCTAATACCAGAGATGGTCATTAATCACTATACTGCCTGTTTCTTTTGTGGTCCCATAATTGAGGCTACCTGTTAAATTATGGACTTAGAAGTGAGGAATGTGTTCTCAGCTAGAATTTACAATAATATGCAGTGTGGTTGCAGCTTCTAAGACTGAAAATAGGCTGCTTACATGTGTAAATTTTCAAGCTCTTTTCCTCATGAGAAAAAAAAGGAGGCCAGGTGAAGGGTGAAGCACCAGGGAGAAGATCTGTTGCCCATTTAGAAATTTCCATTTTTGCCTTCTTACACAAGGATACCTATGCCACATTCTAGCTCATGAACCTGGTAGGTCCACCTAACAGGATCACATTCTTCAGACCTTTCTGGCAAAAGGATGAGGACCTCTTTGCCCTTACAAAGTACTGGATTCTTATCAAGTGAAATTAGTCTTGAGCTGTTCCACAAAGAACCAGCACAGGGAGGGCAGCTGCCCTTTGAAGTGGAATGGCATATGCCAAGTTGTGTGTATTATTCAGGAGAGCCAGGATCTAAACTCAGCTCTCAGGCAAAAAACACATAAGTTAAAATTACTCCAGAAAAATCACCTACGGAGGCCCCTTGGTGGAGATCCTCACCAACTCTGAAGTCCCATCTGGGTGGTTTTTCTCCCATTGTAGGAGCACAGTGGTTGAATAACAGCTGATTTTTTTTTATATTTCATACTACAACAGACATTTTCCGCTTCTTAATATTTTCGCACAATTGTCAGATGAAATAGTAATCATTCCCTTCATGTGTATTGTAAAGCAAGGTATTAAAATGTGATGCCTGCTTTATTTCCTGTCAAAGTAGCCTTCTCACCCTCTAAGGCAAGCTGTGTTGACAGCTGTTTGGCTGCTACGAAATCTGTGAGTAGAATGGACAGGGCCCCAGAGACAGGTCATTTGTAAAGTGTTTTTGCTGTTCGTAAAAAGAAAAGTCTTATTTAAAAAAAAAAAAAAAGTACCTGTTTACAGATGTATATTGGTGGAATGTGTGTAAATTCAATTCCCAGTCCCATTCCAGCCAGTAGCACATATGTTCTGACCCCCTGGGCAAAATTTTTGCAAAAGTCCATCAGTCTGGGCCTCACACCAAGAAATCTGCTTATTTCATCCCTCTCAAAATGTACCTTTTTTTTCCCCCTTGGGCCCTCAAATGCCGGTAAGCTCTCTGCCTGTGTCTACAACCAGAGAGAATGTGAGCTCTGGAGGGCTCTTCTAGGTCAAGGATGTTAGACGGGTGGGGCATATGTGCTGCCGCCAACCATTCTTATATCTGTGGCAGACAGCACTAACTGATCACAGTACTGTCTTGCTGAATGTAGGCACTGCTTTGGATCTTTCAGGATATAGTATCCAGTCTCAACTGAGCAGAACTGGCAAGTGAGTTATCCTGTTTGCCATCCTTGATCCATAAATTTGTAATCTTCTCTACCATCCACTCCACTCCCTGAAGGAAATGGGTTTAAGAAAATTATAACCATCTGTCCTTCACAGGCAATGCTTAGCTATGTTAAACATTAGCCAATTGTGCTTTTACCATTGTATGTTTGAAAACATACGTGCTTTAAGACATGTGACCCATCAGAGTTTTACATCCACTTACCCAGGGTTACATCATTTATGCCACCAATCACAGGATCATGTGTCCAAAAATATGAAAGCATTTGGTGACTTATTTAATAACTACAGG